TATGCATAGGTGATAAATCACCTTTTCTTGATGCCTCTGCCCGGCGTTGATTTAGAATATCATCTTCCTCACCTTCTTCATATGTATCTCTACCCACAATCACCGGATTTGGCATGTCTTGAGGAAAACCTTGTGTCATCAAGGTATTTCCATCTTGTACATTGATCAAACTTGCCTTGTTTTGTTGTTGTCTTTGCAATTTGTTCCTGCTCATATTCCCACGACAAGTGCTAGAGGCAGTATGATTTAAAGAGTTTAGAGGATCAGAACTTACCAATGCATCCAACAGTTTTTTCTCCTTTATCGAAATAACTGGAGTAGTTGTCACAATTTGTTTCTGTCCAGAATTTGACGTTGTTGCTCCTTTTCGATCATCTGTAGGAATAACAGCTGAAGTGTTTAGCTTAAGTTGCTGTTGTTGCTGATTAGCACTTGACATTACTGCTTCTTTTTGCTGATTTGCACTTGGTAATGCTGCTGCTATTTGCTGACTCTGCTGTCCATCGTTTGAAGTAGATATTGCACATTGTTGTTGTTGTTTAGTAGCTGCTTCATGTTGATCACTCACACATTTAGCAGCTGGGGTGCTAGGTATAAGCTGGTGCTGCCCAGGAATCATCTCTACTGCCTTTGCTATCGAGCTAGCAGCTGTTATTTGCTGCCTAGTTTTAGGAATAAAATTTGGGGCTTTTGCATTTAATTTGCTGCCTGAGATCAACTTTGAAGAGCTGCCAATTTTTGGCAAAGGTGAGCCAACTGATAACATCTCCTCATCACCACTACACCTCTCACCATCATCAGAAGACTCCTCCACAAAATCAACTCCCAAATCTTCTTCACGATCATATTCACGTTGGTCAGCCCATAACTTAGAATTAATTGCCATCTCCCTCACATTTGCTTTAGAAATCTCATTGTTATTTCCTGTAGAGAGCACCATCTGTCCATGATCACCACCATGTTCACCACAAGACTCAAACGATTGTGATGGTACTTCAAAGACGGATGTGTTCAATGTAACCAATGGTTGATTAACCATATTATTGACCATCATTGCATTCTGAGCTTCTCTAATAATTTGTTCCACCTGAGGGCTTGAAAATTACAGTGTTGGAATATTTGATTTGTGTGCTTGCTTGCTCAGATTTTCCTCCACCACATTTTTCTTTGAGGCATTTGGTCGAGCAACAATTTTCTTCTCCAAACCAACACTGCCTTGCCCTCGTTGTTCAAAGCTGGGCATTGGAACTACTTGTCTCAACATTCCCTTATCATGTAAACCTGTTGCCTCAACTTCAGGGTCCCCAGCAGCATCAAGAACCTCGAAAGTATTTGAGCTGGAACTAACGTTGAAGTCCTTTCGTCGAACACCTTTGTTCTGATATTTTGGTGAACCCCCCTTCTTTGAAGGAGATTTTCTCGATGTTACCACATTCCATTCTCCCTCCTTTGCGTTTGTTTCTTTAGCCTTACCATCCTCAACTATCTTCCTAGTTGTATTTTCCACCGGTTTGCTCTTATTCATAGTGACGTCTATCCCAGAAGTTTAGGCAACAGCTTCTCCGTCAGAGCTTGGCCTTGCAATTTCCTGCTGCTCACCTTCAGTTGGCTTTAGAGAAACCTCAATACCAGAGTTACCTCCTGAAGAAGCAATTCCAACATTTACCCTTTCATTGCTTGTATTATTTTGATCACCAGCTGCCCTATCTATACTTTCAATTCCAGCCTGTGCACTAACAACAGCTCGATCAGTAGCAGTTTTTGAAGCACCAGCAGTAGCTAGATACATTCTTGCAAACACAGTAGAAGCATGGACATCTCTTGAAGGTTGACGAGGTCCCTTGTCAAATTTTAGAGCCTCCTCTATAGGTACAGCTGGAGCTATAGCACCTGCTGTGTTGGAAATTCCAACAGCAGCATTACTCTCAATTCCTCTAGCAACAGTCATACTTCCATCTGTTGCTTGTCCAGCCCTCTCTATTTCATTGATCTTCCCAGGTTGTTGATCTTGTACTGCACCTCGATTCACGACCCTATCATTGTCCACATTAACAATCTGTTTTCCTCCTTCTCTTTGCACTACCTGTTCGTTTTGTTTCCTGCTAAATCCTGCAATTGTACATTCCTCTTTGCATTGAGAAAGTCTCTAGCATCACCTTGAAGTTTTTCAAATCTTTCCGGGCGTTCACTGCCTTCCCTATCAACCACCTCATTCTTATTTTGTTCAATTCTCCAACGACATGATCTTCATCATGTCCTTGATGTTTGCAACATGAACAATATTTTGGAAGATTATCATAAACAATCTCCTGATAATGATTAATGGTTTTTCCTGATCTTACATCAACAATATGAATCCTAACTTTCTTAGGATGCTTATCCAGTAGGACTAATAACACCTTAACCCTAGTCGTACTTGGTCGCGTTCGATCTTGTGTCGCTTTGTCCACAGCTAAAGGTTTACCTACTGCTGCAGCTATGGACATTAAGGATTTCTTTGCAAACAAAGTCACAAGAAGATCAGGCAGTGATATCCAAACGACCGCCCTCGAGGTTTCTTCACGTAGATTAAATCCCATTGTCCATGCGAATGATCTATAGAAGAATTTATCTCCCTTTGCCTTAACATAACCTGTTGATCTTGACAAAACTTGAACGAAGTCTTCAAAGAGATCAAACCTTACCAAGATGTGTCGATATCCAAGCTGTCCAACATTGCAGTAGCCTTTGACGTCAAACTGTTTTGGAATTAATTGTCGCAACTCCTGGATATCTGGTTTCCCATATGAGAATTTGAGAATTACAGCTTGAACATTTTTAACAACTAATTTGATAGAAAGCAAATGTTTTTTATCTATGAACTTTTTTAACAACTAATTTGTTATGGTAAATAATATTGATATGGTAACTTAAAGCGCATGACAAAAATTATAAATAACTACGGAAGTTCATTGGCTATTTTTATTGTCGCAGTTATATCAATCTATCATAACAAATAATTGTAGCTATTAGGCCAAGATGTTCTCGGTTTCTTATAACTTGAATTTTAAAATAGTTTTTATATTCAAAATTTATCTCAAATCATTATTGTGGCTAACATGCTATAGTTGCAGCAACTTCAAACACGTGACAAAAGTTTATATTTAGCTACAACATTTTATTATATCAGAATAACTTTGTAGCTATTAAGTTAGTTTTTGCCATAAATTTTCATAATTGAAGCAAAAATACCTATTCAGCTACAACACTTTTTCTCTAGTAATATTTTGTGGCAAAAAGATTAATATTGCTATAGTAATTTCAGTTGTGTGGCAAAAACTCACAATTAGCTACAAAATATCGTTGTAACAATAAATTTATAGCTAATAATCCAGCTATTGCTATATGCTTTTATTAGTTGAGGCAAAAATATCTATTTAGCTACAACACTTTGTCAGAAGTAAGTTTTTGTGGCTATATAACTGCTATTGCTACAATAACTTCAAATACGTGGCAACAAAAATACGATTAGCTACGACATTTTATTGTAGCAATAAATTTATAGCTATTTGTGTAATTATTGCCACGACAGTTAGCAAATATAACAAAAATGATAAATTAGCTTTGCCAATATTTTTTTGTAGCTAAATATTTTTATGAAATTGTAAATAGCCACATAATTTTAACTTTCGTGGCTATTGTTATTTATTAGCCACGATGTTCATACATGTAGCTAAGAATTTGTAGCTATATATACATAATGTTGTAGTGTAGGTTTGTTTAAATAGTAGGGCTTTGAAGACATTATTATACTAAAAATATACGAAATACAATCAAATACTAAAAATATATGAATTGCACAATCAAANTATCGCGAGAATGTTCGAAGAGAAGAATATCAAAATTGTTTCTTATCTTTCCACTATAAAGAAATGCGGGCACTATCTGTATGCGGTAAAATCGGAGGGTCCGATTTTCGGTCATTATAACGCCTCGTAAGCAAAGCTCTCCAAAAGCTCGGGACTACGATCGAGATTCACCCCAAAGGGCCATCGATGCTCAACCTCGAGACGGTGCAAGTCGACAGCTATGATAAAAAGTGGGTAGTTCCCTAGGCGCACGACTGAGGCTGACAAAGCCTAGAGGTCTAGCTCTGACCCGTATCAGGGCATTAGGTGGCTATACCTGCCCATATCTTTGTAGTTAATGTATTTTGTACTACGTTCCCCCTCATATATAAAGGGGAACCCTTGTCATTTGTACACATCTGTTTCTCCATACTAAATACACAAGAACATTTTCTCTGCTCTCTAACATACTCTCTTGATATTATTGCTTCCATTTATTGCCTATATTTATTGTGTTCTATCTATTGTTCTTCATTTATTGCTTATTATTGGCCATAAAGAGCCGTCATTGATTTTATTATAACTGTTAGTCGTCCATCGACTACCCTCGATAGCTCCCAGCCGAGCACCTGACTCGACCCCGAGGCCCCCGAATAGGCGAGCTCGAGGCCCCGACTATTAATCATTCGGTTTGGTTATCAACTTGCTCTCAAGCTCTAATCTCGTTTCTATGTCTTTCACATAGCATCAACTGCATAACAACTAGCATAAAAATAAATCACGTATTTTTAGAATCCCATAATCAAATTTAATTGTTATTACCATTTTCACGTTAAACACTAGCCTTAGCCACAATAGTCACCTAACATAACAACGTTGTAACTGTATATAAATGACGCAAATACATTATATTCGTCGATATGCTTATTAGCAGTCTAGTGTTGAACATCTATTTTTCCAAATTAAAAATAAGGAATGATCACATGGGAAGTGAGACATGGACAGTATCTTTAACTTAAGAAAATGAAAAGATTTGAATATCTATCTCTTACTTGCACGTTCCTTTTTGAACTTTTAAATTCCAATATGCTAAGAAGTCCAGGTGTGATATATATATATATATATATATATATATATATATATAATGCGCTTTTACATTTCAACTTAGAGAAGAGAAAAAATAACTAGCAGTTTATAGAGTTAAGCTATAGCGATGATATTCGGTCTAATTGTAGTGTCTCTGGTCCTTATAATCACGTTGAAGTACTTATATTCATCAAAATTAGGACTTCCTCCAGGTCCATTTTCATGGCCAGTAGTTGGAAACCTGTTCCAACTAGGTGAAAAAGGACTTCCTCATATCGCTCTAGCAAAGCTAGCGCAATGTCACGGTCCTGATCTCATGTCCATGTGGTTTGGCAGCCAACTAATGGTGGTTGCCTCATCCCCTGCAGCTGCTGCTGAGGTTCTTAAAACCCATGATCGTATTCTTGCTGGTCGCTTTGTTTCTCGTCCCCTCCGAATAAAGGGGTCGTTACTTCACAATTTGTCACCCGCATTTTTGGAGGAGTGTGATGATTATTATCGAAGTATCCGTGCGATGCTTAGGACAGAGCTTTTCTCTGGAAAAGCTTTGGAATCACAGGTAAGTATGAGGGAGGAGAAAGTCATGGAACTGATACAATGTCTGTCTCAAAAACAGGGCCAAGTGATTAAGATCAAGGACTTGTTTTTTGTGACCGCTTTAAACATAATGGGTAATTTGTTCTTTTCAATGGATTTAATAGATTTTGAGGGCAAGGGCCCAGGTGAAGGATTCAAGAATTATATGAACGAATACATAGATGTTTCTGCCATTCCGAAGCTAGTAGATTTGTATCCTATATTGGGTTGGGATTTTCAAGGAACATATAAGAAGATCATATGTATTTTTCATAAAATTTCTGCTGTTTGGGAAGGCATTGTTCAGGACAAAAGATCAAATAGAGACAGCCAATTACCTTCTTTAGGAGCTGCTAAAGATTTTACAGATGTTTTGCTTAAAAATGGTTACACTGATATACAGATCAATGCATTGCTTGTGGTACGTTTCGATATCTTTCCTCGTCACCTGTTTCATATATATTAACAACTTACTGAGTATTTTCTTTCAGGAACTATTTGGAGCTGGTACAGGAACTTCAGTCGATACAAGTGAATGGATGCTTGTAGAAATACTTAGAAATCGACAAGTCTTACAAAAGGTCCAGGATGAAATCGCACAGGTAGTAGGAGCTAAGGGCTTTGTAAAGGAATCTGACTTACCCAACTTACCATACTTGGACGCTTGTTTTAAGGAGACACTAAGGTTGCATCCTCCTGGACCACTGCTACTTCCTCACCGCGCTGTTCAAGCGTGTGAAATCATGGGTTACAGAATTCCAAAAGACACCCAAACGTTGGTTAATACGTGGGCAGTTGCAAGGGATCCTAAATTTTGGGACGATCCTTTGAGCTTCGATCCCGAAAGATTTATCAATTCAAAGGTGAACTACATGGGGCAACATTTTGAGTATATCCCTTTTAGTTCTGGAAGGAGAATATGTCCTGGACAGCCTTTAGCTTCCAAGGTTGTTCCCTTTGTTGTTGCTTCTTTGATCCATAAGTTTGATTGGTCTCTCCCAAATGACATGGATCTGGCTCAGATTAACATGGAAGAGATTGTGATTATCACTATGCTTAAGAAAGAGCCACTTCTTGTCATTCCTAAATTGCGGAAAATGTGATGAAGAATGACGAAAAGAAGCAGATGATATATGTTGTAAGACTTTCATTATCACTATTGTTATGCGTGTACTATGCAATATTTAAGTTGTTGTATTGTGTCTGAGGATGGACACTCTAATAAACTTTCGAAATAATTAAACTTCTTGCAAGGTTTGTATGAATTTAAATAGAAATACTTTTCTTTATTATGGTTGTTGCTTTACCAAGTGCACACTCCAACTACTTCTGCTAAAGATCTACTCAAGTAGGCTAGCAGAAAATGTCTCTTTTTATCAGCGATCAAGAGTTTGTAATTTTAGTACGCCATGCTTACTGGTGTTTGTAGAGCAATATAATACTCAAACATCAAAACTCACTAGAAGTAGAGAAAATAATGATAATTGTCTCTTTATTCAACTTGGCATGCTTACAATGGTCAGAGTACGTATACGGATTTTTATAGATTATCTATATCATGTATCTAAGCTATTATGTATCCATTATCGTTGAATTGTTCTTTCCACGATCTAAATCGAGGCCGTAATGTGGCAACCAACAAGCCTCTACCCGTTTGATAGGTGAACCATTAATGATAAACCAAAGAAAATGGCACTATGCCTGAACCCTAACACTTGGCATCCTGTGTCCTCATTACGCTTCATAACCGCACTGACGACTCGAGTGCCAAATAGAGTCATTCTCACATAGAAGGCAAGTAAACAAAGGTATGCATCTATACTCAACAATATCAAGAAAACCTCTTAACCGATAAGAGTGCTTAACTACATGTATGCTTGTGCAAGTGTCCTAACATAGTTCGTACCAGCTAATAAATATAAGAAAAGAAACGGACAACACATAGAATGTTTGCTCACAACTTGCACAAGATAAAACTCACACTGGTATGTGTTCCACTTACACAAATATCAACAACAAGAATACCCTGAGGCCATCACAAGTCATCAAAAATAAATCCGTGACATAGCCCACCTTGTCTCGCCACGTGTGCAATAGTAAAGTAAATGCCCGCCTTGTCTCGCCACACGTGCATAATAATGTTCCCACCTTGTCTCGGCACATGCGCAACCCACATATATATACCCCGCCTGTCACACTGCATGTGTAAATATTAATAGTAACAATAGCACGGCAGAAACCTCGTGCAACCCCACAACAACAACCGCACGACAGAAACCTCGTGCACCACAATAACAATAACCGCACGACAGAAACCTCGTGCATCACCATAATAAGTTGTCACGCCCCGAACCTGGGCCTGGACGTAACACGGAACTCGGTGCCTAACTATATGTGACCGAGCGAACCAACTGGCTGGCTGAATCAACATGTGATATCATAACATACTGAATGCAGAAGATAAACTAACACATGCTGATATACTGAAAGTCTAGATGATATGAATCAAAGTGCGGAAATAGTAAAACAAGTCTGAAACATATATGTAGCCAACATTTCTTAACATGAAAAGCCTGAGACTCTGTCTAACTGTTACTTTAGTCCATGAAGCCTCTAATGTAGTACTGAAGACACTGACTGTCGGTAAATACTGAAAGACTGTAAAGTAATGATAATGCCCCGAAAGAACTGGGGATCACCAAATAGCTTGGTACGAGGATCCTAGAACTCTGAATCATCAACCTGTAAATTATTACCTGCATCGTGAGATGCAAGCCCCGGGCAAAAGGGACATCAGTACATTTAAATTGCACTGGTATGTAAAGCAACTGAAAGAAAGAATTGTAAATGCTGAAACTGAAACCAAGCTGATAACTGAGAATTGATAATTGATAACTGAAATGATAACTATTGAAACTGAGATTAAAACTGAAATGATAATTGATAACTAATAACTGAACTGGTAACTGATAACTGAACTGGTAACTGGTAACTGAAATGATAACTGATAACTAAAATGATAAAGGAATTAAGGATATGAATACTCCCTCTTCTGAATGATGAACAACCCGTTTATCTGAATATTAAACTGCGGCCTCAGGCCCAATGTATATATGTGCACAACTGCGCCCTCGGGCCCAAGTATACGTATACATAACTGCGGCCTCAGGCCCAAAGATGCATAAAGCATAAACTGCAGCCTTAGGCCCAAAGATGCATAAAGCATAAACTGCGACCTCAGGCCCAAAGATGCATAAAGCATAAACTGCGGCCTGAGGCCCAAATACAGGTGTTCAAAATACAGGGATTTAAGATCAGGAACTGAGAATCATAATGCAATACATGATAGTGAAATACTGAATCATACTGAGTTACATGATACTGGAATACTGGATCAGACTGAGTTACATAATACTGGAATACTGAATAGGACTAGACTGAGATATGTATTCTTGAACTGATTATGAACACTGAAACTTCAACTGATTATGGCATACTGAGTAATCTATTCTAAGACTCGGGGGCATCAAACCCAAGTATATATTGAATATGCACTGAGCTCACAACGTTCAGAATAAAAGTCATGAACGAGTTATGAAGCTAAAGAATATAAGTTCTACAACTATTCAAGGAACTAGGCTAAACTATATTTCCGAGGCAATTAGTAACGTCGTAAAAGAAACGTAGTGTAGGGAGAATCATAAACGTTCCCAAACACAGAGAGTTAGCCTCACATACCTTATCTTCCTGCTCTTGAGCGTAATACAACATTTGCCAACCCTTTCAACTTTAATTTATATCAATACAAGTCAAAGGGATTCCATATTAGCAATAATTCTCATGTTTTAGTCACTTAAGCGTTTCCTCAAACACTTGGTGACATAAAGCTTCATAGTGCTTACTAATGGTGTTTCTACGCCCAACAAGCCATTCTCTTGATCCTAGATAAATTCTAAAATCTCAAATTTCTTATAATCAATGTCATTCTTCTTCACCCATAAGATAAACAACACCCTTAGCCAATAATCAACAATCAACAAGCCAAACCTATAGCTGTTCATGCTTTTCTATCAAACCCATCAACTCATATCTCATGAACTTGTAGTCTACAATCATTAATCCAACGCTATAATCAATTAGAGGGTGAAGATATTACCTTCTTGACGTTCAATCTTCTTGAATTCGAGTTCTAGGGTTCCTTCTCTCAACAATGATGTCCCAATCGAATATCTAATGATACGGAGGATTTACCCATGTTAATAAGATGTTGGGAAATTGAAATTAACTTAGAATCACCATTAGAACTTACCTTGGATGGTGGAGGGACCTTTAAGGAGTTAGGTTTTTGAGAGCACCCCTTTCTAGAGCAATCTTTTATGTTTTGGGGCTGTGGGGGATGAAGTAAAGCTTTAAAATGACCCCCCATGAGCGCCCCCGCGCACTTGGTAGGCCTGACCGCGTAAAATGGCAGTAACACTGCCATAGGAGCGCGGCCGCGCTCAGGGCGCGTATATTGCACACTGTTCTGTAAAACGCGCATAACGTTTTGCACACAGACCCGTTAAAGCTTCATAATATATCGTTGGAAAGCTATTTCAAAGTCCTACAACTTTTATCTTTTGTGTTTTCCCAATTTACTTACACATTTTTATTAACTGCTGCTGGAAGATGGACCTTTTGTAAACTTAGTCGATTTTATCGAATCTTATGCACCTCATTCTCCATCTTGATTCTAAAACAACTATTTTCACCCATACTCATCCCTCTAGGACTTCATATGTCTATAATATCAGATTAATACCCATTTAACACATTCACAGCTAGTCCGAATTTACGGGGTTTTACATTATCTCCCCCTTGGGATCATTCGTCCTCGAATCATTGTCCTGACTGTAACTTCTGGTAACTCCAGACCTTAAACGGGTATGATGGAAACATGAACTTTCATTAACACTTGCATACTAAACTGAATGAATACATGATTACTGAACTTTTGAGATACTGAACTGAATGACTACTGCATTGACTGAATATTGGTCTGCCATGGATACGTGAATACTTAACTAACATGGATATATGAATATTGAACTGGCACGAATAATTGAGTATTGAACTAACATCAATATCTGAGTACTAAACATATATCAATATTTAAGTACTAAGCTGACATGAATATCTGAGTACTGAACTGGCATGAGTATCTGAGTACTGAACTGACATGAGTATCTGAGTACTGAACTGACATGAGTATCTGAGTACTGGAAACCTGAATGTTATAACATGACACGTGAAATATTGGTTGTACCACCGCTAATTTTGGTGGAAACTCCAACTCATAAGCTAGTTGAACGATCCTTCGCAAGATTCTATATGGCCCAACATAGCAGGGACTATGCTTCCCCTTCTTCCCAAATCTTATAACGCCTTTCATAGGCGAAAATTTTAGAAACACCCAGTCATCAACTTGAAACTCTATGTCTCTTGCCGCACGCTCGAATAGGACTTTTGGCGGCTATGAGCCGTCTTCAAATGCTCTTGAATCAACTTAACTTTCTCCATTGTCTGATAGACTAAATTTGGTCCCAATAAATCTTCTTGGGAAACTTCGAACCAACCAATTGGCGGTCTACACCTTCGCCCACACAGAGCTTCTTATGGTGCCATCTCGATACTAGAACGGTAGGTTATTATTAGTAAGGTCAATGAGAGGTATGTGATCATCCCAATTACTTTTAACATCAAGGACATATCCTCAACTGTTTGAATAATGCGCTCTGCCTGGCCATCTTTCTGAGGATGAAAAACTTGTGCCTAATCCTTTCGGAAAGAACAACTAAAAGTTCATTTTAAACTGAGCACCACAGTCCCAAATGACGAACCACGGAGTCCCATGCAATTAGACGATTTCCTGAATGTATAACTTGGTATAATCTTCTGTTGAATCTGTAGTCTTTACTGGCAAGAAGTGTGCTGACTTGGTAAGTCGATTTACAATCATCCAATCAAATCATGCTTTTAAAATGAGAAAGATAATTCCGTTATAAATTTCACATTTACCATCTCCACTAAAAATATGTGTAATATGTGATAAAACACTAGGCCTTCTGCTGCTCGACTTTCACTTGCTGACAATTCAGACAATTGGCCGCAAGTCTGCGACGTTATTTTTCATGTCGTTCAACCAATCAATCTCCTTGGTCATGATGCATATTTGGGGAACCTGGATGGAAAGAATACTAGGAATTATAGGCTTCTAACATGATCTACCCTTTATAAGTCCATCTATGTC